CTCTTGAAACTTTGGTTGGATGGAACCTTTTGTTCCTTCCCCCCCCCCAATATCATATAAGCTGGAATCAGGAGTCAAAGGCCAACTTTCATTAACTCAAAAGTTGGTTAAAACAACAACTACTGGGGGGAGGGTAGAGCTCAGTGGTGGAGCGCGTGCTTAGCATGCACGAGGTCCTGGGTTCAATCCCCAGCACTGCCACTGAAAACAAATCACAGTAGGAAAAGTACCATTCCATAGGTATTCAGACGTGCACCGGGATCATCGTGAGACCACGGGAAATCCCAGTGTTTTAAATATCCTGCACTAACCTGGTGTCTGGGTCCTTGAGTGTGACCCTCATTTATCATTGTTTATATAAAACACACACACACACAGAAGAAAAAAACAGGATGATTATCATTTTGACTATTGTTTTGCAAGGGAGAAAAATGGCAGCAATTGAAACCTTCATTATACTATTCATAATCGAATAGATTAAAGAGGAAGTCCCAATTCTGCTTTAGTGAACAGGAGAAAAGAACGACTTATTCAGCAAACAAAGCGTTTGAGGTGATGGGCCCAGGTTGCCACCGCCCTGCAGGGATGCACATTCAGATGCACATATTTGGAGGTACTCATTGAAGCTTCAGGAATTCAGCGCTTCGGCCAGCATTCCGTTTTGTAAGTTTCGGCGGAGAACTATTCAAGAGGGGAAAAGAAAAAACAGTCTCACAAATAAACTTACATTTGAAACAAAAAGCAGCTGCAACTCTCGGGCTTGCAGCGCCTCTGAGCAGAGCACGTCTGCCGAGCTCCCTGAGTTCCGCTGAGGCCCCGAGGACACACCCACGCGCTGCCTGCTTGTCTCCTGACCGTCCAGTTGGCTTAGCAGGGCTCTGTATCCGACAGTTGCTCAGTTTTGCCACTTTGTTTATAAAATCCGTTACCATTTGTTTATCCCACGGATACTCCATAGGTACTGATGGCCGGATGTCAGGCTGGGGGAGTGGGTGAGGGGAAGACAGAGAAGATGTTTACGGGCAGAAACCTCATTTAAACGAAAACCTAGTCTGTACTCGAATCCCTTGACTTTGCTCAAGGGAGCAGAAGCGCCTCACTGCAGCGTGGTCCGTGCGCTTCTCAGGGAATCGTGCAGTCGCTGTGGTCACGCAAAGTACAGTGTGCGTCGCACAAATCTCACGGAGGTGTTTGCCGCGGAACCTCGGGGACCCAGCGTGATGTGTTTAGAGGAGACAATGGGGTTTTGTTTGTTTGCCTGCCCGTGGGAACTAAAACCAATGAGGCTTGGTTTTCAAAAGCTTCTTCAAAGTTCGTGTTTTGTTGTAGGAAACTGTTCAGCTCTGTTACTTCCTAAACTGGACTTGGTCAGGCTCAGCTCGGACAGACCGAGGCACTTCACTCGGTTTCATACCCGTTTGTATGCTGAAGGATTCTCTTGGTCTAAAAGGTCTTCAGCTGTGTCTCTGGATTAGTTACTGTTCAAGGTGAAAAAGTATCAGGTAAACATATAATAATGGTGTGTTTCAATTTCTCTTATTTAAGTTTTTTGCCTTTTTAAGGTAAACTTTCTGGGTCATTGCAGCTCATTGGATCCCAGCATACATTGGAAGGTTCTGCTCTTCCTGGAAAATGTGGAACTTGTAAAAATCTGTATATTTTGATCATTCCTTTATTCAACAAACACGCTGCCACCCACAGTGTTCGGGAGACCGTGGTTTGGGTTGGAGGTGCAGGTCTGAATGTGGCATGGCGGCCACCCTGCCAGCAGGCACTGCCCAGCAGAGGCCGAAAGCCCGTCTCCCGGAGACGCCCTGGAGCGCTGACGTCTGGGGGGGCAGCTGCCTCACAGGGCAGGCCCTTGGGGCGGGCTCACCTGGGCAGGTGTGTGCAGTAAGGTCAGGGCGCGGGGTGGGCGTCTGAGGCAGCACCGTTTAAGGAGACAAGGAAGAAGCCCAGAAAAGAGGACGGGGAGCCCCAGCAGAGGGGCGGGGACCCATCACTCCCAGGGGTGTCTGCGGCATCAGACGTCCCGGGAGGAAGGGTGAAGTCCAGACCACTTTTTAAGGCCACGGGTTGAGAAGAGAAAGGGGGACTGGGTCGGAGCTGGCGAGAGATGTGGGCTGGAGGAATTATAAAATCCCTGTAAAATCCAAACACAGCAGATTATCTCTGAGCTCAAACAAGTGGATTGTGGTTGGAAAATGGTCTTCGCTCTGAGGACCAGCAGGAAATGAGCCCCGGCCGACGCCCTAGCGGTGCTGGGGGAGGGTGGCTGGTGGTGCGGACTCTCTCGAGGGCTGGGCCCTGTGGACGCCTGGGGTTTCACGTCTGTGTCCCAGAAATGCCCGCTGGACAGTGCCAGACGGGGCCGGCCCCCGTCCTAGGAGGGCACGGGACTTCACCGGGGACCTTCCACTTGGACGAGACTGCGGGCGGGAGGCCCCGAGGCCGGGCAGGCGCTCAGAGAGGGGCCGCCGTCCAGCCTCACGCCTGCTTCTCTCCCCGCCGGCCGCCGGGCGCCCTGTTGGGTGCAGGTGGCCCCTGTGGCTGTGGAGTTCTCAAGTCCCAGCTGAGTCATTTATAGACCATTTGAAGTCAACTCGTTTTTCCCCCTGGTTTTTTATTTCTGGAGTTTTTTTTAAAGGGGAGAGAGCTGGGGGCCTTTGGTGTCCACGCCAATCAGCGTGTTGGCAGAGAACTTCCCAGAAGCAAGCCGGGGTCGCCGGCACCTTGATGGCTGGGGTGGGGCTCGGGGGGAGCTGAAGGCAGCTACAGGAGCGGCAGCTGCTGGTCGCTGGGAGTCACTTTCTCACGAACCATCAGTACGAGGGGAAGCCACGCCAAGTGCAGGGCTCAGGCCTCTGTTCCCGCGTCTCCTGGCACATCAGAGCCAAGCTTCCAGGAAAGTGCTCCTGCTCTGCATGACAAAGAGGGGCATTTGGGGAAAACAATTCACTGCCACACTGAGCAGCTAGTAAATCCATGACCGCATTAACCATGAATCCCAGGTGTAAACCAGTCAGTACCTTGTCCTTCGTGACCAGCGTGTGTCTGAAATCAGAGCTACGTGAGGGGCCTGCAGGTGCGGGGACACCATCAGTGCAGACACCAGCCTGCAAGGTGCCCGTCTGGCCCTGCTGGGACCACGGGCCCTGCAGGACGGAGGGAGAGGACTGTCTGGACGCAGAAGGCCCTCTCGGTGGCCGGGCACCTGTGCAGAGAGAAATGGCCCAGCTCCCACCTGTGTACCCGGAGTTCAAATAGGACGAGCCCAGAGGGCCACAGTGGTGATGGAGAGCAAAGTACACACACACACACACACACACCTTGCAGAGGCGTCCAGGGAGGGGCTTTCTGGGGCTGCACCCCACTGAGAGGCTGACCTCCTCGTCCGAGACGGCGCACCCACGCTGGGCTGTTCCAGCACCCAGGGGAGGCAGGAACGCCCAGGGCGATCACATCTACGCTCGGCCTGCGCTCGCTCGCTCTCCGCTGGTGCCCCGTCTGTGACGTGGGCCCCAGGCCCCTTTGCCCGCCCCACACGGTGCTCTCAGTGGGACCTCTCTGCACAGGAGGCGTATCGGGGACGAGCTCACACCCTGGAAAGGCCATGTCTTCAGCACTTCCTTCCACTTGGTGGTGAAACCGCCCTTTTCTTTTCCTTCAACAAATGCCGCTGAGAAGACCGAACGTTCTGGAGGCTGTGCTGGCCCCGGCCATGAGAGCAGTGCAGCGGCTGAGTCACTTCTCTGGAATGGCTGTTAATGTCATCTGGTTTCCTCTCGCCCAGGACCCCGGGTCTCATGTCTGGACAAATGAGCCATCCATTATCTTCCCACCAGACTGAAAAGAGATCAGTTTCTCGGGGTTGTTGTTCTGTTTTTAACTGCGGATGTGTGTTCAGTGTCCGTCCGAATAATCACTGTAAACCGGGGCGCCTTGGGAGGGAAGTCTGGGATGTCCCGATAGCCATCTGCAGAGTCACCCACGGAGGGGCACCGTGCCTGCCGTCGGGATGCAGCGCTCGCGGGGGCCGGACCCGCCAGCCCCCGCACCCTGCGTGGCGCAGGGAAGTGGCCGCCACGCGGCTCTGACTGGCCAGTATCTCCAGAATGTCCCCCAGTGCCCTGGGTATTATTGTTCTTATAATGTCTTTGCAAAACTGCTTTGCGGATCAATTTCCAAAGTGTTAGTTACTTTTAAAGATGTAAGGAAGGAAGGCCGAATTTTTATCTGGCCTTCCTGTCTGCCGTTTAACCTTCCCCAGAGTGAAACTTCAGGGCAGCGCAGACTGTGAGGAGTGAGCGACCTTGCACGCCGGCTGCTCCCCCGCTGACTGGGCGCGTGGCTTTGTCCGGGCTGCTCAGGGCTTATAGTCCTCGAGTTCAAAGCGAGGCTGGATCTTTCTCTGGAGCTGAGTTGTTCCCAACATTGTGATTTAATGTGTCCATGATCAGATATGTGTGAGGTACCTTCAGGTGGTCTGGCCTCCTGAGAGCACGTCTCGCCTCGACACGAATGCAACCCCTGTCACGTGTGGACCGCCAGACCCTGACAGCCCCACGTGGCTAAGGGGCATGGGTGTCCCCATCACCGTGTGACTTACGGGCTTCTGGCCCCAGTGCTAACACCTCAGCCAGCCCTCTCACACCCTTCCACCCCTGAGCCCCATCTCCGCGTCCTCAGCCGTTTCCTTTGGCACCTCTCAGAGAACCCTGTCTTCTTACACTTATTCTAGGAAACGCTAACATCCTCTGCCTCGTGACGTCTCTCCCGACATCAAGTTAGAAGTCCCTTCTGTACCCGTCTACTTTGTTCACAGCCCGATAGCCGCTGGTTTGGACATTTCCCCCGTCCCCCCACCCGGGGGTCCGGGCACCATCAGAGGGGGCGGGCGGCTTGCACTGCCCCCAGTCTCCTGTCTCAGGTCCTGTTGGAGGCGAGAGCCTCTGAGCCACGACGGCCCCGCCTGCCCTGAACCTGTTTTCCCAGATGGTGTACCCTTGATTTTCTAACGGTGTCCCTGTATCTGGAAGCTTATTCTCTCAGAACTGCCAGCTAAACCCTTTGTTCAGGACATGCTTAAGGATTCGGTCTTTTTACCGTTCAGGAATGGTCAGATCTTTCCAACAGTCTCCGTTCGACACGAGTCTTCATGAAGCCAGAGCGACAAAGGTTGGAGATGCGTCTCATTGTCCCCGGAGAGTTTTGAGAGCTGGGAGTTGCAGCCTGCAGCCCCCGCACCTTCCTGGCATACCTTTTGGCCAGAGTTGCTAAAAAGTAACAGAATTGCCTTGTTTGAGTTTCACCTTCTGTTTCTGGCCCCGGTCACTCGAGCAGGAGGGGGGATTAATGAGCCATGAAATGGCCCCAGTTGAGCTGCGTGGGGTTGAAGCAGAGAAGCAGAATTTTAGATGATCACTGTGGGGCTGCGGTGGGCTCAGTTTTGCGTAGGTTCCCATTAACCCCCGGGCACACACCTGTTTATTTTGTGGTCATCTTGTCCGTCTGCTTTGAGCTTGGTTATAGCTTCATGAAGATCAGTAAAAAAGATACACTCAGGGGCCACACCCATATCCATGACTCGAGGAAGGTTCAGGTGTGCGGTGACAACAACTCCTGGAATGTTCTGAAAAGCTGGGTAGGAAGCCCCTCCCCTCCAAGCCAGCTGAGGGACCCCCGCCACCCTGAGCCTCTGCTCCCCCACTGGCAAAACCGACATGAGAACAGCGCCGCCCTCACCGAGGTGTTGTGGGGGCTGAATCAGTTACCCGCTGGCAGGTGCTCCCCACAGTAAGTGCTCTGGTCTGGGGGTGCTCTAACCGAGTCACACGCAGGGTCCAAACCCTGTTTCTTGGCCCTCTGCACTGGGTCTGGCTCCTACAGGCCCTCGAATAGCTGTCTGTAACGTAGACATTTAGATACACGGTCCTTTGAGCAAGTCAGAAAGGAAGGGAACTGCAAGACAGTTCGTTGCTGATTAGCTCACCGCCCTGTGAAAAGAAAACCAGGACTTGACAAGCTCTTAGACACCCTTGGAATTCTGCAGTCAAAATTGTCATCAGAATTTCCCCCATGGGCGGTTAGCCTCCATGACAAATGCAGAAAATGTCCTCTGGTCCATTCCAGGGGTTGCGGGGGGTGTCATTCTAACCCAAAACAATCCCAAAATCTTGCACTTTGCAAAACTGTCTGAGGCCGAGTGGGGTGGGTCCTCTTCCCAAAGAGTGCGACTGGCTGCCACCTAGTGTTGGCCACCAGAACTGCAGGCAGTCCTCCGCCCCGGGGGCATCCAAGGTACTAAGGAGGCGTCTCTTGATGTGAAGTTAAAATTTGATTTTAAAGGAAGGCTTTCCACGCTTACTGAAGGTCTTCTAAGTGTGGAAAACCTTCCTTTTACGGCCTGGCAAAGACCCACGTGGGCAAACTCACTTTTTCTCCATAACCTTTAACCCTCCTGAGTCACAGCAGGTGCACTGACCGTGGCCCTCAGAGGAGTGGGGTTCAAATATTATCAGGACCCGGCCCCCAAGGAGGGAGTCCTGCATTCCAAACCCCTGGCCTCGCTTCCTGTCTCCAGCTCGGCTGGGGATGTCTCATTTATCTGTCTAACCCTGAGCGCTTTTTCCAAGGCTGCCACAGTCTGGGTGGTCCCCCTCTACGGCCCCATTGCAGAGGCCTGGAAGGCGCTCCCCCGACAGTGCAGGCGGGTACAGCCAGACCGTCCGGGAGCACCGACACTCAGACATCCCACAGATCTTGTGCAGAGAGCGGACAGGAGCTGAGGTTGTGGGGACATACTGTGACATGTGAAGGTGACTTAAGGAATTGGGGGTGGGGGTGGGCAGAACAAGAGGGCAATGGTCCCTCCACAGTATTGCCCAGCACAGCTCTGCTTTGGACGGGCTTCAGAAGTCATGGATTCATTCCTATGGTCCGAAAAATGGTCTGAACATAGAAGACCCTGGTCTTTGGCTCCATTGTGGGAGGAACCTGCATTTTGTTGTCAGACAGAGCTGGGGGTTGCAGAGCCCCGAGTCACTCACAAAACAGATGGTTGTGAGCACAGGGAGAGCTGTGGGAGGAGCAAGCTTGGCGAGCCCCTGGTTAAGTTGGGGTCAGGAAAATGTCCTTACGGAGGCTTGAACCACAGCCTCGGGAGCCCTGAGAGTCAGCAGGCCGTGAGGACAGGCATGTGCAAAGGCCCTGAGGTACGAGAGACCTGGCCCAGTGCCTGGAGCCTGGTCAGCCTGGAGCAGAGAGACAGCAGGGAGCCCCCGGAGCGAGGGCGGAGGTGAAGCTGTGAGGGCTTCCAGGAGGAGGGCCGGCAGAGCCGCAGAAGGGGCTGCACCTCCCCGAGCGGCTCCCTCACCTGTCCCGCGTGAGAGACCTGGCTGTGCATGGAAGCGGCTGGGGGAGCTGGCTCCCAGGCCCCTCCCCTTCCCACCCCAAAACTGCTAGACAGAAGTTCTTTTTTTTATTGAAGTTGATTTACAAAGTTGTGTTAGTTTCTGGTGTATAGCAAAGTGATTCAGTTTATACATAGATATGCATATTCTTTTTCCTATTCTTTTCCATTGTGATTTATTATAGAATATTGAGTACAGGCCCCTGTGCTGCACAGAAGGACCTTGTTGTTTATCCATTTTATATATAATAGTTTATATCTGCAAATCCCAAACTCCTAACTTATCCTCCCCCACCTTTTCCCCTTTGGTGACCATCAGTTTGTTTTCTATGTCTGTGTGTCTGTTTCTGTTTCAGAAATAAGTTCATGTGTGTCATAGTTCAGATTCCACATATAATGATATGGTGTTTGTCTTTCTCTTTCTGACTTACTTCATTTAGCATGAAGATCCCCAGGTCCATCCACGTGGCTGCAGATGGCATTACTGTATTCTTTTTTATGGCTGAGAAGTATCCTGTTGCCTATGTACACCACAGCTTCTCTACCCAGCCCTCTGTCGATGGACATCTAGGCTGCTTCCGCGTCCTGGTTGTCGTAAAACATGCTGCTGTGAACTTTGAGCTGCATGTGTCTGAGTTATGCTTCCCTCCAGGTTTTATGCCCAAGAGTGGGATTGTTGGATCCTATGGTGACTCTGCTTTTAGTTTTTAAGGAAACTGCACGCTGTCCTCTGTAGTGGCCGCACCAAACCGCATTCCCACCAACAGTATAGGAGGGCTCCCTTCTCTCCACAGCCTCTCCCGCATTTGTTGTGTGTAGGCTTTTTAATGGTGGCCGTTCTGACCGTGTGAGGTGTAGACCAGAAAGTCCTGAGGCCCCGGACTTCTCAGCTGATGCTCTGACGGCCAGCCAGGACCAGTCCTGGGACAGGAACCATTCCTGAGTGATTTTCTCGAGCTCTGAGCCGCGCACGATCACCCTAAGATGCAGGTGGATTCAGTGGGCAGGGATGATCTCATGAGCTCCAGGGGCTTCCCGTGGCCCCGACGCTCCCTGAAGCCCCTTCGAAATCTGACATTTTGTGAGGCCTTTGGAACACTCCTAGGCTGTCAGTGGTGAAGGGCAGAGATGTGAATTTGAAAAGCGGTGTAATGTTGGTCTAATCTTAAATGGCTGCAGTTTCCCTGTAAGACTCCTGCTGGAGGGCACGGCTGGTGTTCCTGTACGAGACAGACAGACGTGTGCAGTTTGTGCGGTGAAGTGTGAGAAGAGAATATTCTTTGACCGAAACAGAATGGGGCCGTACAAGGCTAGAAACTTGGGGCTGAGTTTCTGTCTAGTTTCCGTGCAGAAGAGCTCTGTTAATTACCTTGTCCCCTGCCGCTGTGTGCTGGCCCCACCGCCCAGCACCCCTTCCCTCCCCGCCTTTGACGTCCTTTGCTCTGACATCATTTTCAGGCCTGATGTCGGGTTCCTGCTGGTTCACCCCACCACCACCAGGCTTTTCTGCCTCACATTTGCAAGGAAGCCGACTGCGGGGGGTTGTCTTTATGGAGAACTGGGGCCACCACCCTGGTGACTCTGAGCAAACCCCGCAGTCCAGCCATCGTGCGGGAGGGGCTGGAGGGGGCTGGCCATCAGTTCTCGCTGCAGAAGTGCGTCCCGGCCACAGTGAGGACGCTGCTGCAGGTGGATGCCGGACCTGCGCCGGACCCAGGATCAGCAGAGACGTGGGAGGAGTGAGGTTAAAGCCACAGTGCCCGAGCTGCGCGGAGCTCGCAGGACAGCTCGGGGGACAGAGCTGACGACACCAAGTGCTGACAAGGCCCTGGAACTCTGATGCATGGCTGGCGGGAACACAGCACAGAGCAGCCAGTCTGGAAAACAGTTCTGCAACTTTTTCATAAAGTTGAATGTGAGCTTACCATGTGTCCTGGGGCTCTCATTCTTGGATGCTTAAAAAAGCTGTCCAAAAAAACACCTCGCACATGAACGACCATAGCAGCCCGATCCACATTCGCCGAAAACTGGAAGCAGTTCAGCCGCCCTCCGGGGAGTGACTGGACGGACGGCCGTGGCGCCGTGACGCATACGGCAGAACCGTCACGCGCGGCAGGGCGGCGAGGCTCACGGCCCCCGGCGGCGAGACGCGGAGTACCTCCCGGTGAGGGACAGCCTGGGAGAGGCACAGCCACGCGGCGGGAGGACCGCCGTGATCCACAGAGCTGGGGGAGGGGGCTCCATGGCCAGGGCGCAGCTCGGGGACTCGGGCTGACGCAGCTCTGAGGACGTGTCCCAACTCGCCAAACTGGACCCAAGGAAAACGAGTATCATTGTGTGTTCATTTAAAAATAAAGTTTGAAATCTTAAAAAGGAAGTGAAAATCCCAAATAACTTTAAGGAACATAGAAGAACACATAAGCAGGTGAAAGCAAGGAGGAAGGTGGAGGGAGCTCACGCCTGTCTCCGGACAGCGCGCACGGAGCTCGGCCAAGCACGCGTCCTGCCCGGGAACGTTTCAGATGCAGAAGAACGGGACAAAGCTGAGTGCCACAGCCAAGGCGGAACCCTCGCTCGCACTTCATCTTTTTCACTTTGTTGGCCAATTTTTTTTTCCGTAACAGACCCACTTAGGCTAATGCCAGCCTGGGGAATAGTATCCTTGCGTGGGACTGTGTTTAGTCTAAATGTGAAGGAGGTATAACGGCTGGTTCCATTCCTGGTCTGCACACAGATACTAAAAAGTCTCCGAGGCTGCCGGCCTGGCTGATCAGCCCAGCAGGGAGCCGCTGACCGAAGGCCGGGCACACGGTGTCTCCTCTTCCTCCTCCCTCTGGAGGGTGCCTCCCCGGGGCTGCTGGCCGGCTCCCCACAGGGCAGTGACAGAGGCGGGTGTCAGAGCACAGTCTGCACTGCTCCGTGAAGTGACCTAAGATGATGACCTAAGAGGCTGAGGTGAGAGGCTGGCACACGCAGCTGGCCCGTGAAAGTCAGTAGTCTGCGTGGGGGCCGTGCACACAGGCAGCTGCTCTCATTACCAGCCGTTTTATGATTTCGGTGACTCAGGTCGCCTCCCGCCTAACTGTTGCTGTCCCATCGGGGCAGCACGGCCCGGGGCCACCCTGTATGACACCCCATGATGACGGAAAGGCTGCCTGAGGACCTGCTGTTGATGCTGTTCCGTGCTGCCAGCTGCTGGATGAGAAAGGGGGGGAGCCTGACAACCAGAGCCCCAGCGCCAGCTTCTTCCAGCCCATCCCCTGCTCCCCGCGGCCCTCAGCTCACCCAGCTGCACCTCCCTGCCTCCTTGGAAATCACGTCTGTCTGTGGGCCAGGGCCCATGTTTAGGCAAATGAAATGTGCTTATTGCTACAAGCACAGAGGCAATAAAAGGCTCTCCCAGAAAATCAGCTTTTCCAGACTGTGCCAAGCGAATCCACATCTGGACTGTGAGAAGCTCCGCCTCGCACGGCTAAAGCCGCTGAGTTCGACTGCCCTGAGCTGCCTATTTTTAGAATAAGGAGCAGTTTTCAGACGTCTTGGTCGTATAGGTGGAGAACCAGAGAGAACCCATTCTTTTTCTTTGCTTTAAAGTGTGAACTTGCCCAAGTCAAATAATTTCAGATAGAATGACACAGAGCATCTGACAGTTATAGGGGCCACCCTCTTTTTGTTTTTTTTGAAAATCGTGTATAAGGGAAACCGATGACAGCCGAAGGGTATCTTCTGCGCCTGAGGCTAGCCTGGTCCTGCCCCACTTCCCTCCCGCTGTCCTGTGGGCTGTGGGCTGGGTGGTCCTGGTTCCTCTCAGGACCACACTTGGACAGACCAGCTTCCAGACAAGGAAAGCAGGGTCTTGGTTTCTTCAGACCTTTTCACTTCTCTGGCAGACACTTTTAAAAAGCATTTGGCTAGACGTTTTCAGTATATCATTTTACCAGCGTCCTCTCTCCTTCCATTTCTGAATGTCATCTGTCTTGTAAATTCACTGGTAAGAATGTGCCAGAAGGACTTGGCCACATGCACTGTGCCTGTGAACTTGAGAGACTGTCTTCTTACTCGCGGCTGCCTTCACGGTCAAGTGTATTGAGGTGTAGTTCACATACAGTTCCGTGAATATCGGCAAATGTGTCCAGCCGTGTAACAGCCACCAAGGTCGTGGTATAAAACGGGTCTGTGTCCGAAGTTTCCTTGTGCCCTTTGTAGATGGCCCCCTCCCTCCTCCTGCAGCCCTGGCACTCGCTTCTCTCTAGAACGTCTCCTGAGCAGGGTAATAGGTGGCATGGTACAAACAGGACGGGCAGGATGCAGCCTTGTGTCTGGCTGCCTTCACTTCCTCACTGGTGCACACATCAGATAATCAGACAGCTTGTTCCTTTTTGTTGCTAAGTAGTATTCCAGTCTGTGCCTGGACCACAGTTTGTTTATCCACACAGCTGAGGGTCACCCAGGTGGCTTCCAGTTTTGAGCTAAAATAAATTGAGCCACTGTGAACCCTGACCTGCAGGTCTTGGCTTTAGCCACCCGTTCTGCGTGCCCGCCTGCAGTGACTGAGGCTCCCGGCCGCTCCGCGCCCTCTCCAGCGCTCGGCGTGGCCAGTTCTCTCCGGGCGTGTCAGCCATTCCAGCAGCCGCAGGTGCACCTTATTCTGATCTAATTTCCTTTCCCTCCTGGCCGGCACTGCTGGCCCCTTTCATGCCCCTGTTTTCCGTCTGCACCTCTTCTGTGATGCAGGGTCTGTTCAGATCATTTTCCAGCTTTTCCGATCAGGTTGTTTGTGGCCCTACTATTGGTTTCTGGGAGTTCTTTCTGCAGAAGGGACGAAAGTCATTTGTCACATATGTGTCTTGTGAGTATTTCTCCCCATCTGCTTTTCATTTTAAACGATATCCTTTTTATTGAAGTGTAGTAGTGTACAATGTTGTGTCGCTTTCTGGTGTGCGGCATCATGCTTCCACCATACGTGTGTACAGTGTTCCTTTCCACAGTCTTTCTCATTACAGGCGGTTACAAGCTGCTGAAGGCAGCTCCCTGTGCTGCACAGCAGGCCTTGCTGGTTCTCTGTGTCACACACAGCAGTGTGTGTCTGCTAATCCCAGGCTCCTGACTTATCCCTGCCCCCACCCCCGGTAACCAGAAGTTTGTTTTCTGTGTGGGTGAGTCTGTTTCTGTTAAACAGTATCTTTTGAGCATCAATTCTTTTAAATCTCATCAACATTTTTCCTCTGATGGTTTGTGATTTTTGCGTCTTGTCTGAGCAGCCTTTGCCTCAGCCCAGGTCACACCCTGTGTTTGCTTCTGGAAGTGGCAGCGTGTTAGCCCTTGTGTGCAGGTCTGTGCTCCGTTTTGACTGCGGGTTTGTGTGCAGAACCGGGTGAGGGTCCAGGGTTCTTCCTTTCCCTGTGGTAGTGATTTCCTTTTCCCCCACATGCCCTCCAGTCTGGGCCAATTTTGGGGAGAGGACAGCAGGAGTTCCAGGAGGCCATGTAATTCTTACTGAGGAGTAAGTGGAACCTTCTGTAGGACTGGTACCCAGGGCAGGACTAAGGCTTCATTATGTTAGTAGGAAGCTAAGGGAGAAGTTCCGTCTTGCCTGGCAGAGGCAGTTGGCCGCCACTGACAGGTGGTGGTTGTGTGCGTGACACGCTGTGTGTATGTGTGTGGGGGGGTACTGACCCCCATACAACCATCAGCTGGGAATGAGGTGTTAACTCACTCTGCCAGGTGGTCAGAGCTGCTCACAGATGCTAACGGCCATCCCTAGGAAGGCTGATGGATTCTAAAATTCAGCCAAACAAATTATTTTCCTGATTCCTAAAAAAATAGTCCGTTTGGGCCATTTGACCTTTTCTTGACCGTGTGTGAACAGCTCACAGAGTGAGCTGGGACCTGGGCCGGAATCCCCAGAGGTCACCGAGAGCCGCAGCAGTGGAAGGCCGGGAGGGCGCGGAGCCGAGGAAGGGAGGGGCGCCTGGGCCTGGAGAGGATGCGGGGTGTCTGGAGGAGTGCCCGGTGCCCATAGAAGGCGACACAGGAAGAGCACACGCGGGAAGGAGGAGGGCTTCCTTCTATTCAGGTGCCGGCCAGCTGGGCGTGGAAAGCCTGCTCCACCAGGAACATGCAGTCCCGTGGATTCAAAGTCCTGCTGTGCAGGGAAGCAGGCTTTATCCTTGGGAACATCTCTTTGTCCTCCCAGTACTGCTCGCTTACCCAAGGCCAACGCTGTGGGTAAGGAGCTCTGAATGGAAACGGGCACCCCCTTGGGGGCGCTTGAATGCAAGGCCCAGTTTCTCGGGGCTTTGACTCCCCACCGGTCTTCTGCCCTTAGGTTAGAGGCTGAGGTGGTGGAGTTCTTTCTCGATCTGATTATATTTTGCCGCTTTTCTCAGAAGTGAAAATTCCAAAGCTTCGCAAGTGTCTCAGGACTCCGAGCGCATTCCCTCGGCGGTCGTGGCATTTAAGCAATGTGTGCTCAGGCTGGACGCATTCCCTGCCCCTCCCAGACTTCAGCTCCCAAGGCTGAGCCCTGGGCGTCCCACACAGACTCCAAGGGCGGTTTCAAAGAGGGAGAGGCGGTGTGTGCCCCTCCCTCCGTCCCTGCAGCTCAAAGTCCCTCCCTATTTGCAGGTGTCGCTGAAACTAAAGACCAAGAAAATCTAGCCAGGAATAGTCTTCAGCGAGCATAAATGTTAGGTTTCCCTCTGCCCAACTCAGGAAGCCCGACCTTTCTTCTGAGATCCAACTTCATGCTTAAGAGATTTTTCTTATTAAGAGAGACCTGCCTCCGCCCTCCGGAGGAGAACGTCAGCAGGCGGAGGCGGGTGGGGTCGTGCCAGGATTCTCCAGCTGTGCAGTGAACCCTCCGGGACCGTGTTCAGTGCAGCCCCTGGAGGGCCGGCCTGGGCCTGAGAATCTGCATTTCTTGAAAGTTCCCCGGTGGTGCTGACGCAGCTTGGGGACCTCACTTCCAGCAGCAAGGGTGTCATAGAAGATGGAATCCCCCCCCCTCCCCAGACTTAAACGCATCAGTCACCTCTTCACACCAAGCGCTCCAGACCCCCGTTGTCTCTCCTTTCAAATGGGGGTGACGCCAACGTCACGGTGGTCCTGGGGACAAAATGAGACAAACCACTTCTTTAAACCTTTCACAGTGCTTTATCCCGGGGGGTGCGGGACTGCAAGACCCTGCCAGCGTCCTGCTTCCTGGGCAGCGATGCATCCACACGAGTCAGCTCCCTGCGGGGCAGGGGCCCCGCTCCTGGGCTTCCAGCTCCTTTCTACGACGTCTGCTGGCTTCTGAGAAGTATTTTGCAGAAATATTTTTATCATGTATATTGCGAGACTTTTAGGGGCTTTAGAAATTTATGCAAAGACTTTTAAGCTAGAGTCCCACTCTGTCTGGGGTAATTTTTATTTTTAACATCACTTAGTACAAAAAGAAAGGAAGAGACGGAAATAACTTTTCCAGTCGGGACTTTTCAGCTGAGGCTGGGAGTTGGTGAAGGTCGTTAGGACAGAGGGAACGCCTTCCATTACCGAGCACTCCAGCTGCCCTTTGCAAACACCCAAGGTGTGCTGGTGGGCAGGGCGTCCCAGGGGAACCTCATCCCTGATGACCACAGCAGGCACACCAAGGGCCTTGGACCTTGACATAAGTCCCAGCAACGCAGGGTTTGCACCGAGGGCGGGACCGAGGGTCCAGTCCTGGGGGTTGAGGGTGGATTCAGATCCCTCCACGGTCCTGGCTCTTCCCTGGGGCGGTAGCTGGAGGGAGCTTTGTGAAATGTTCCATCTGTCAGAAGCCTGAGATGAGGGGGACACCATTTCCCCACCCTCTTAGGATGGCTATAATTTTTTAAAGATGGAAAACAACGAATTCTGGTGGGAACGTGGAGAAACCAGGAGCCCTCACGCCTTGGCGGTGGGGACGTACAGGGGGGCGGCCATGGTGGGAGGCAGCACGGCAGGGCCTCCAGCAGGGATGGCGTTTCCACGCGGTACAGCAGTGCCCCTCCTGAGTTCAGACCCAAAACAGCTGAAAACAGGGACTCAAGCGGAGCAGCGTGTGTGCGTCCAGAGCAGCTCTGCCCACGGCAGACCGGTTTATCCAGGCCGTGGAATATGGTTCAGCCATGAAAATGGGTGAAAGATGGATACGTGCAGCAGTGTGGACGAGCCTCGAGGACATTAGGTTCAGTGAAAGAAGCTGGACAGGAAGGGTTGCACAGCCCACACCTGATTCCATTTATAGGAAACGCCCAGAATGGGAAAATCCCACGGATGCCGAGCGCGGGCCGGTGGGCACTGGCGTGTAGGGGTCAGAAACGACGGCCCGGCGGGCTGGGGGTCTCCTCTCGGGGAGCTGGAGATGTTTGGAACTGGCTAGATGTGGTGGCGAGAGGACACTGTGACGGTGCCCGAGGCCGCTGTGGAACGGCTGGTTTCACGGTGTGGGAATTCACCTCATGCCGTACGAGAGAAAAACGTGACAGCACATTCCAGAAAAGGCAAGGCTGGGATCTTACTCCCAAGGTCACACTTCCCATCCCAGAAACAGAAGTTAAAAAGAAGTGCAGTAACAATAGGAGGAGAGCGAGGACGTGATGTCAGCAGGCGGCCTCCCCAGGGGAGGGGCCTGAGGAGAGGCTGACGCTTGCCGGGCAGATGAGGGTTTCCTCAGTGCCGGGCATGTGTTCCCTCTAGGTTAGTGGCACACGGTCCCTCCCCGTCAGCCCTGTGGAGCCACCCTTCCCCAGAGGAGGATGTAGTTTATGGACAATAGAAATGACCGTGCTGGCAAGGAACGCGTCATCCCCCAAAGCCTGCTCCCCGCAAACACTGGCACACCCCGCGGCTCCGATGGTCGGGGAACTTGGAGGCTGGGGGTCATGGTAAATGATCAGGGAAGACTCTATGTGAAGAGCCACAAACACAACACAAATGAGCACAGCCGAGGAACAGCCGTAGAAGTCTGGATCAAAGCATGTTTTGTCCCCAGACTTACAGCCAGTGCAGCCTCCCGAGCCCCCTGAGTGTTAGCCAGGGCTGAGCCCGCGTGTCACAGGCCCACGGTCAGGGGTGTCTGTCCTTCATCACAGCCCTCCTCAACCACCTTTTCCCACATTCTTCAAAGACATTCAAGAACCCCCTTTTTAATCTTTTTGTTTTTATGAGGAATTTTTTTTTGCTGTAGAAAGAATGTATGTTTTTGTGGTACAACACACACAACACAAAAGGTGCCGTCTTACCCATGTGTGTACAGTTCAGTGGCGTTAAGCACATTCGCATTTTGTACAACCATTATCACCATGCGTCTCCCCGAGCTGGAACTCTGTCCCCATTAAGCGCCCATGCCCCTCCCCACCCTAGGAACCTGTGTCCCACTCTGTTTCCGTGAACGTGACGACTCTAGGGGCCTCGTATTCGTGGACTCAGACAGTATTTGTCCTTTGGGGATGGCTTCTGTCACTCAGTATCATGTCCTCACAGTTCACGCACGTTGTAGCGTGTGTCAGAATTTCCGTGCTTTTTAAGGTGAATAATGGTGCCTTGTCTGGATGGACCACACCGTGTTTATCCATCATCTGTCAGCGACACTTTGCTTCCACCTTTTGGCAGTTGTGGAAATGCTGCAGCGAGCGTGGGTGTGGAAAGTTTCTGCTGTCGTTCCTTTTGAGTGCTGTCCCAGAGGTGCGACTGTGGGTCACATGGCGATTCTCTGCTTAGCGTCCTGCAGAGCCACCATACTGTCTTCCGCCCGCAGTGACTGCACCATGCACACTCCCACCAACAGAGCACAAGGGTTCCAACTTCTCCACTTCTGCGCCGACATGTGATTTTGTCCTCTTTTTTTAAATAATAACCATCCTAATGGATATGACTAACGTTTTATGTATTTCAGAAAACTTTTATCTTTTTCTCCGTGCATGCACGCACACGTGTGTGTGGGGGGGGTGTGAACAGGAGGACAGATTATCTAATTACCGAAGCATCTGGGGATCACTTTGATATCTGGACACAATTTATGTCCCC